TGTTTTGAAAGTCAATAGACATTATTGGGCTAAGTACTAACGATGTAACTTGCAATACAAATTACAACATAACTTTTCCTTTGCCTCTAAAGAACCTAATATTTGACAGAAATCTTATCAAATCAAATACTATGTAGTTCGTGACCCCCAAAAAGTGGCTACAAGTTGACCACACAACCTTATTTCAGTTGTAACAAAGAGGTGTTGCGAAGTTTCTAGCTACCTACTTTGGCTGTCACGAACTAAGTATTGGACGCTGACTTATAGCTATGTTGTTCATATTTCTCGTGCAGACCTCATTCCATCGCACGATAAAGGTAAAATCAAACGGGCGGTGTAGTCACGTGTAGCGCAATCGAAGCGTACCGCTTAGGGCCTAACCAACCGTTCGCGTGAGCTTTTACTCGGATTTTTCACGTTAGCATTTTTGTTCAGGCACGTACAGATTACAGCCAGATTTATAACTATTTACGTTTGTACGCTGAGTTTCATTCGTGTAAGTATTTATTTACCTAAAGCAACTACTTAAGTAATTCAAAGGTGTTAAGTTTGCTCAAAAAGTTGTTGTCAGCGCATAATTTTCAGCTGCATTTTTATGAAATAACACCAACAATTCATATGAGTAAGTACCTTTAAACGTTTTACTGAACAAAATGAATCTTTGACTATCCCTATCGGTCAATAAACTTTGAAACGTCTTTGATGACAACGGTCTATGACGGTCAAAATTAAATGTTAATTTTCATATTGTCGTGTTTTCAGTGTTAAGTTTCATTTCAGAATACAAGACTGAGGGTCATACTCGTATTCTGAAATCTGAAATTTCATGAATCAAGGTGTTAATTGTTCGTCGCGCAAGTAGGTAATTACAGAACCGTTATTTCCCATTAAACGCTGTTTTTCAGGCAATTGCTCATTTTCACATCGCTTTCTAGTCCTAGTTTGATATCGATAACCTACTCATACGTTAATATTAAGACTACTTTGTATACCTAACTTAGACGATAGATTCAGTATTTTTAATGTGCACAGTTTTCCACTTTTTTACGGTCAGCATTTTAACACCGCCAAAATACAAATCCAGATTCGTGACAAGGCCAAATAAAAGAAGACCACACCGTTGCTTATCGCGAGGATGGACGCCAGGCGTTATCAAAGCATTATCTTCTCCTTGGCCATCTATGGAACTATTATTTTCGTAGACTCTTTAAGATAAGGTGCTTTCTGTTAACAGATCCTGGTGGTTAATTGCCTTAATCTTAAGTTATGGACCCTTATCGCTGTACGAAGTTTTCATTGTAAATAGGTACCTATTCCTATTTTAATAATATAGGGTTAAGGGATAGTTTAGCAATAATGGTAGGTAGGTAGGCACTGTTTTGAAGTTAAAATTACATCATGGACAGGAAAACTACATAGATTATTTTCCAAATAAAAACTTTCATCTTCATTTAAACAAATTGCAAATCTAACAAGGTAATATTACGCAGGCTACGCACTATAAATGACTCTACTAGCATTACTGTAGGATATTCCAGACTGATTTATTTTGGAATCTTGGAAAATGAACGCAGAATTATATGACGGACGGACCATTTTCGCCAAAATTCATGAATTTGTCAGAAAATAAAAACGCTTTCCTTGTGCAAAGGTTAAGTAATAGTTAACCAACCAGTAAATTCAGCAGCTCGTTTCTTTGCCACGCGGACACGCTTTTATTTTCAAATTAATATTTTGTTTTCAGTCTTTTTTAACTAAGTTTAATATAAGTTCCTAAAAACTAATTTACGTGGACGATAAAATATTTCATGATGTAGTATTATAAGATGTTTATTTTCGAGTTAAACGCCCCTTTTACACTTCATGTATTCTTGCGCCAAATACATACTTAATGTAAAATGTGTAACCATTAATGAATATTCAATTAAGCAAGTAAGCAAGCACTTATCATATTCGTAGGTAGGTATTTGAGATGGTAAATACTTATTATGGATTGTAAGAGTTAATTAAGATTCTAATTCAATTCTTGCACAGGTTCATAGGATTCAAAAGGTTCTAAAGAGGTTCCAATCCAATTAATTATGAATACTTTATTTAAGTACGGTACTTTTTAGTCAAGGTAAGTAGGTATAATTTAAACCTTTTCAACTGATCGCACAAAGACACTTCATAGCCTACTGAGACAGGTAAATGATTGAAGTTTAATGTTGGTAGAAAATACGAGTAAGTAGGTAGAGTCCTCAATCACCAAAACAACCAAAGAAAATGCACTAGGTATAGTTTCTTTGCAAACCAGAAAGTGATGACATCCACATAATTCATCACTCACCACGTCATAAAAAATATCTACCCGTAGGTGGAAAAAATTTGAACAACTCTCTTGCACTTTTCATGCACTTGCATAGTTCATACAGAATTTACAGTTTACCAATCAATTTTTGCAATTAAGTAAACTTTATGAAAGAGTAGAAAACTTACATCATTAAAATAAGCTTGTTCCAGTTTCTGCCTTGTTTTATTCGCTTTGCTGTACTCGGGGAGGCTTGACTGGCGACGTACGCGCATCCTCTGTTCCCTTTCCATAGTCATCAGGTCAGATTTCTGAGACAACACTAAATAGTGCAACCGGTGTACTATATCCATCTTGTATTTTCTTCGAACACGTAAAAAACACGGTACAAAAGTATCAAAAACAAAGGAGTAACGAAAACCAGCGTAAAAAGTTTCGAAAAAACAAAAGAACGTAAAAAGTTTGCTTCTTTTTTGAAAGTTATGTAATTTTTTTTCGTTCGCGAGAGGTTTGTGTGCCAGCGTTCGCGCGTCCCGCCCCGTATCTCTGGGCGGGCGAGGCGTGACTGCCGTAGGGCGCCGGATGTGGCGTGGCGGCGCCTCTCGCCGGTCGCTCGGCAACCGTTTGCAAACAACACGCAACTCTAACCATTAACACGTTTAGACAATTTCTTTTAGATAGAAGGCACGTAGACGTCTAAGGTATTCAGCGAATTTCTGAGTAAGAGCTGTAGAATGTGTAACTAAGAAGCTTTTTATTTAATTCTCATTTTTATTAATTGAACTTATATTATTTTTATAGCTTGAGATTCTTTTAAAATAGGTAAGTACTTCTTCTTCTTCTTCTTTTCAGCCAAATGACGTCCACTGCTGGACAAAGGCCTCCCCCAAGGTTTTCCACAATGAACGGTCCTGCGCTGCCCGCATCCAGGCTCTTCCCGCGACCTTTACCAGATCGTCGGTCCACCTAAATAGGTAAGTACATTAAATTATAATAATTAACTGATCTGTAAAATACTATGACTTCGGAATTCGTATGTTACCTACGTAATTAAATGCTCAATGCTCATGTTCATCACAAACGTTTTTCCTAAGCGGAATTCGAACCCGCAACCGCACCTGGCATTGTAGTCCGGTAGGCGAACTATCAGCCTAGCAGCTATTGAATTTGATATCACACAAAAGAGAACTGACGGCCGATGGGGCAGAAAGGTTCTGGAATGGAGGCCGCGTACCGGAAAACGCAGCGTGGGGCGACCACCTACAAGGTGGACCGACGACATCGTAAAGGTAGCAGGGAAGCGCTGGACGCAGGCCGCTACCAATCGATCAACATGGAAAGCATTGGGGGAGGCCTATGTTCAGCAGTGGACGTCCTGTGGCTGAAATGATGATCACACAAATTATGCAGTCACAAAATTCTAAACCAAATAATAAAATACTCTGCTAACCTACTTCCATTTGTTTTGTTTTTCTATGGAGTTAAGTTACGTGGTAAGTTTTGTAGGGCAGAAAATGTAATCAGATTTGAAACTATAGGTTTGATATTTGATGTCAGTGGTCGTATTCAAGAATGTTCATTCACAAGAAACAAATACTTAGGTAGGTATGGTAAAACATACATACACTCGAAAAACATAACCCCCCNGGCCCTGCTTCTGGCGCAGTCGGGTAAAAACTTTGGCGTCCGTCCCTAACCTACTGTTGCAGTCCCATAAGAAATAATTTATTTCACACAAAGGTCATTCCGCATTTCTTGGCAAATCCTCCAGTTGTGCTCGCCAGTAAGGGAACCGGAGGCAAATCGACCTTGCACCACTCAACTTCCTATGCACAAAGGTCTTGTTTATTTTAGCGCAATGCGTTCCCTTCATTATGGTCATCATAGCATAGGTAGGTACTTTAAAGACCTACTTACTGTAGAGCCATGTAAACAAATGATATGGGGTGGAGAATAGTATTATGGGGCTATCCCCCTTATAGTTCTACAACTAGTCACAGAAAGTCGACTCAGTTAATTGGTTTATCTTGTCGGGTAGAGCCAGCTGAGATAAGTTAATTTTTTAACAACTATTCTTAGCTCCAGTGTTTGGTGGACAGATTAACAACTTCTTGCAAACTGGGAGAGAATGCCACATGGCAATAAGTTCTCTTTTTGTGCAATATTGTACGTATTAGTTATGAAATAAAATAAATAAATACATGTAGGTATTGTGAAAAAGGCATAATATGAATCGTACAGTAATATGTAAGAGTCCCCTTCTTTGCCGACTTGAGAATATGCCTGTATTTACGAGTTATGCTATATGGCTTGGCATTTTGTTATACCCGACACAGGGTTCCAGATCAGACTGGAATTCTTTCTGAATTTCTCAAGTGCCTGCTCCCAGACAACGGTCCTAAACGCTGAGTGGCAATATTTTTTAGTAGCAACAATCAAATAAATTAGGTAAAATAATGTACAAAAATTATAATAAAATACAAACATCGTTATTCGGAATCGGATCTTTGTCTAGTAAATTGTGTCTGCAGAAAAATAGCTTGAATAATATTTCGTCTGTCTGTAAGTAGATAAGATCTGCTGTTATGTTACTAACTAAAAACCTAGTTTTTAGTTTAAAAACGAAGTTTATATCGAGTAAGATTTAAATTACTATCAAATAAAAGAAAAAAATATTTTTAAATATTTTATTAGTAAGGCAGGAACACGCCTTCATACTATCTCAATATAAATAAATCTGTGTCAAAGATAGGTTGAAGACAAAAATATAGTCAAGTTTGAAAACCACAATATTTGAGCTATAACAAGAAAGTGTGTAAACATGTAAACGTTTTATTTCATTAACAACAATAAATTGCTTTAAAGATTTTCTAATTACATATTCACATACATAACTACATAATATACCCATTAATATTGTGCACAATTGTTGACATAATAATATTAGAAAAAGAAACAGCAAACAAAAGTAATACTTATAGATAATAACAGGCGATCACACTAGGGTATAACAGCATTGAGTTAAGATTATTAAAAAAAGCTTGTAATAAACTGTATTAAATAAATGACAAAAAGTCGTAACGTAACTCAACTGTAGACAATAAAGTTATAGCTCTCCTAATTATTCTATTCAATTCGTTGTAACGAAAAATATTAAGAAAACAAGCAATTCATTGCAACAAGAATTATTTTATTATGATCAAGGAAATAGGCAAGTTAAGAAAACTCTAAAATAAATCTAAAGTAGATTGTCTACCATCTGCATTGTAAATGTGCATTAACAAAATATGTACTTTAAAAATATGTACGTGATTTCACCACACAATAAAATGTAGGTACTATGAGGCTTGAACTATAAATTAATTTATTTTTACAACTAGGCTCAAAATTTAACTCAATCTCAAGTTATAGATTAAAGTCTGTGATAAACAAAAATTTTTTCTGAAAAGAGAGCTATTAATATGATGCCTTGAATAAGTTTGATATTAACATTACAATACTTGAACGCATTTTCATTCTAATTAAAGAATAACATCATAGTTATCTCCATAAAGGAGCCATTCCCTTTTATTATTACACTAGCTTTCCGCCCGCGGCTTCGCCCGCGTGGATTTTTGTCTGTCACAGAAAAACTTTATCGCGCGCGTCCCTGTTTCAAAAACCGGGATAAAAACTATCCTATGTTCTTTCCCGGGACTCAAACTATCTCTATGCCAAATTTCATCAAAATCGGTTGCGAGGTTTAAGCGGGAAAGCGTAACAGACAGACAGACAGACAGACAGACAGACAGACAGACAGACAGACAGACAGAGTTACTTTCGCATTTATAATATTAGTTGGGATTGGGTACACAAATGCTTAGCTATCATATGATAGTACAATCAGTACAATAGTTATTAATAATTGTTGATTTTATGTTAAGATCTCTAACACCTGAATAAATCAACACAGATTGATATGTACTTAAATAATTACTAAGCAACAATGGACACCAAAGAAAAAAATATTTAACATTCCATACAAATCTTAATATATTACATCTAAAATTACAGCACCATTTTTATAGCTTTTTACCATACATTTCATTTGCTATAAAATTAGTGAATTTAACTATTTTATTTATGTATATTTATTCGGTACTAAGTCCACTTGAAGCGTTTTCAAGTCTTTTTAATAGATTTTATTATATTTATTATACTTGATAGTAACATAGCCTATCTATGCAATATGCATGGTCAAAATATTGTGAAATAATCATACAGTTAGTACCATAAAATATGTAAAGCTACATCCACCGAACAATAATTTCATAGAGATATTTTCGTGGACCTTTTTAAGTTCTTTAAAATATTTTAATCAATTATAACATGTCCATGTAAAATGTTATGAATGTATAACATAACTTGCTAAATAACTAACTGGTAACAAACAGATTCACCAAAATCATAACAATGTAACAGTTTGATTTCAATTTAGTTCAAAACATGCATATTTTATCAATTGGGGCAAAGTACAAATCAGATTTATTCAATAGAATAGTACCCAGAAAACAAGGTTATTTACAAATAAGCCCTACTATTAATGTACTTAAACATAGATGTGAACACAAACACATTATGCTTCTGCTATTTTTGATTTGACATTTAACTTCCCGAGCTGGCCCAACATTAGTACTGTGTTTATCAAATTTTCAGAGTAGATGCGTTGGTTGGTTTCCATTCTCCGTAGTTTTTGTACAACATACTTTGAAAAGAATTCGAGTTCATTCTCATTACCTTGACCTCTAGCATCATAATCATCAGAGCTACGTTTGCGTTTACCTTTTGGACTTGTTTGGATGGTAGAAATTTTATTTTTGCGCTTAGATACCTCATCATCAGTGTTGTTACTGTTCACAAAAGCTGAATTAAGATCTTCTCCCAAGTCGTTTGCTTCTTCTTCATTCAGGTGTATAGTCAAATCATCAGGCACTGTAACCATCGGTACATGGTTGTCTGAAAACAGCGGTGAAGGCAGAAAAGACACACGTTTCTTAACTTTGACACCAGAATTTTTAGGTTTGCTCAATGTAGCCTCTTCTGAAACTGCTGCTACTGTATGTCTTCGGTTAACTTTTTCCTTATTGGCTTCAACATTATGGAGACGGCTTCCTGTTTGTTTATTGCTCCAGAAGTTTACTTTGATTTTTGGTTTTGGTTTAGGTTTCTGCTCAACTTTAGGTTTATTATGAAGTACTGTGGGGAATTTGTAACGTACATCATTGTCATCATTCAAAACTTTTTCTTGTTTCTTTTGTGTGTTTGGTGATTTATTGAGCTTATTAAAATAAACAGTGTTTATTTTGTATCTGACATTGTCATCATCGGATTGATACCCATTCTTCCTAGTGGACGATTTTTCTGACACAGTCTTCATCTCATAAAAATAGAAAAATCTTGATCAATTAAATATTTATTATTTTGTTGCTAGGTATCACTTCTGGTCACCTGAAAAAGTACAGAAAATTATGATTCTTCTATATTATTTCATGTTTCTGCTGCCTAAAGTTTTACTCAGAGCGACTGACTATTAACCTACTACGTTTCCCGCCTAAACATCGTTAAAGGAAAATCGACATTAAAGAAAGGAAAACTGACTCAAAACAGTAATAACAAATTCAAGTTTAATTTCTGATACTATTCCTGTGGTATTTTGTCGTTTGTAATGTATACCGATCGTCATTAGCCCTAAAAATAACAAGATAATACAATTTGAGGTTATGTTTTTTACGGAATAAAAACATTATTATTTTACAAATAATTACCATTTCTCGTCTTCAATAATAACGATAATGCTCTAATGACCGTTTCTACGCTTGATAACGAGTCATCAAGCCAACATTTTAACGAGAATGGCGATTCATTACGCTTTCATTATTCAAGCTCATTGTAGTTATATAACATTAAATTTATTAATACAAAACTTACCTTCGTGAACTTTCATTATTATATGGTCAGTATTTATTCATAAATCACTTCACAGTCAAACAAAAATAAATAAATCCACGACTACAAACACGACACGCACCATTCAGTTTCCATGACGCAAAGTAGTTTGAAGTTTGTCCGCACTCTGCAAGTGGCGCTAGGCGTGCAGGCAGCGCTGTAACAGCACAGTGTGTTGAAGAGACGCGGCGGGAAAACTGCTTACGGGTGCGTTCACGGTATCCGCAAAAAATAGTTTTCAATATTTTACCGTAATTTTCAGAATATCTCATTGCGGTTGTTTATCTTCTAAATTATAGCATTAAAGATTATGATACTTAATTATGTTACTTTTAGTGGTTTTGATTGACTATAATCAGAAAAACCTTTTCCATTAATGGACAACACGCATAAGTTGTAATATTAAGTTAAATTATGACTTAATTTAAAGTTTAGATCACACACATTACACTAGTTTTTATTTCACCTCAATCCATCCAGTATTACCGAAGATAGAGCCTCGAGAAGTTTACGGACTTTTTAAAATTTTCAAAAATTTCCAATATTCGCGCGTGACGTCACAACATGATTTTGCAGCCCCCGCACGTTAACCCATTTACCACTTTTTGTCTTTTTCCAACTAAAATAAAATTTTACCTAACTGACAACTGTTGTTAGTTGTCATCGTTCAATCACATTTCAAACTATGCGCTATAAAAGTAACCATTATTATGCCACCTATTGCCAATTTTGTGCACTATGAAGCCATTTTTACATTTATGCACTTAAATATAAATTTTCTGGAAAAATAACCAAGTTTGTGTCGCTGTGCTTAATAACGAGTAAATAGTCCAGTTATTTGTTAATTTTACTTAAAAAGTTTTCNATTTTGAAGTAGTATGACCATATTGAGGATATATCTGGGACTTTCTGTGGGACCTTACTTATCTAATTTTGCATAATGTTTTCTACGGCCGTTTACTGTAATCAATCCATAACCAAATCCGTCTGTCAACTGCCAAATTAAAATCTGTTTTCTATCAAATATCCACAGTTTTCGATGCCTTTACACTTTCTTAATGTTGTAATTCATCTTAAAACAAAAACATCGAAAACCTTTTTTCATAATCATATTAAGTGCACTTTATCAAGACACACTGTTTAAACGTAAATCAGTCTTTGTCGTCCTGAGAAAAATAAATAAAAGGTTACCCTACTTAGAAAGAGAGAGCCTGCCCACAGAGAGCGAGATAGTGATACATAGGTTGTGCTTCAAGTAGGTATTCTAAGTCTGGCCTCCATTTTTATCTTTAGCTTCATGGAAGAGACGCGGCGGGAAAACTGCTTACGGGTGCGTTCACGGTATCCGCAAAAAATAGTTTTCAATATTTTACCATAATTTTCAGAATATCTCATTGCGGTTGTTTATCTTCTAAATTTATAGCAATAAGATACTTAATTATGTTACTTTTAGTGGTTTTGATTGACTATAATCAGAAAAACCTTTTCCATTGATTGTCCTCTTCAGATTTAATTATGTAGTCTCGTCACGACATGGTATGTAGACTAAGGCTGGGTTGCACCATCTTACTTTAACTTTGACAAACGTCAAAAATTTGTCAAACTCCATACAAAAAGCACCGGTTATCGTTAGAGTTACGGTCAAAGTTAGGTGGTGCAACTCAGCCGCCCAAATAGCACCTGCACGAATAGCACTTGGCCTATTCCACTTATAGCACCTATCGATATGTTGGGAAGGTGCTCTAAGTGGAATTAAATTTATTTTCACGACGTATTCCACTTAGAGCACCCAACCTAGCAACCTAGTACCTACTGTCACTAATATTACCAACGGTGCTAAAAGTAAAAAGCGGTCTAAAGCCCATCTTTAAGTTGTATGAAGTAAACAGATACCTGGAAGATTGTCTTTTTGTTTACTTTGCACGTTCATGCACACGCGAGGAGCTTAGCGCGGGTGGGACGTGAAGCGTGTAGGCGGACGAATCAAACTTATGACACCAACGTGTACAGCACGTCAACGTAAACACTGTAGTATCTTACGCAGTTGCCATAGGGTCGACTTTGCAACGAAAATGTATAGTCTGATGTGCTGTCGATCGTACTTATGTATCTACACGTTGTTCGTTGTCGTCATGCGTTACACGAGGATTTCGTTTACCGAGTACATACTACTTACATACAGGCGCAAAACCCTATTTTGTGAAAAAGCAAGGTACCGATCGATAGAAGTTAATTAATGTAGGTACATATTTAAGTATGTGGTTCAGTCTGAAACAGACGATGTGGTGGAAAATAATGTCATGAATTAACTAACTACCACCTATGTACTCATAGCTGGGCATTAACTCGTTAATCCGTTAATCGTTAATTAACGAAGTTAACATTTCTATTAACGGATTAACATTTAAGTTAACTTTAAAAATTGTTAACGGACTCGTTAACTTCCGTTAAATAATCCTAGGTCCGTTAATCGTTAATCCAGTACCTACTATTTACCAAAAAGATAGACGTAGAAGAAGACGCGTTCAGTACCTCTAGTAGGAAAAACTTTCGAGTTCGTTTCGTTGCGTATTCAAAGTGTCATCGAAAAATTTTGTATGAAAAATTAAACAGCGCCCCCTATATTATAGCCGCCCTAGGGGCGGCTATAATATAGGGACTAGTACGTTCGGGCTTCCAGAACTTCCAGAACCCAAAACAACAGTTTTTGTAACCAGATCACTAACGAAACGATATAAAAAATGATATTTTTTATTTATTTATTTATTTATTTATTTATTTACAAGCTTTATATTTTTGACTTCACTTGTTAGTATGTGTGCACGTGTGGGACAAATCTTGCAACTGAATTTATGACCAGTTTTCCTCAACCGATTGAGCTGAAAGAAGAACGGTCATCTGTGACCCAGGCCCGACAGAAACGAGACATACCTCAGTTTTTTTGTCATGTCTTATTTAGTTAAATTATAAATATTTTTTATATTCGAAATCTATGTATAACACCAAAATATTACCCTTTGTTTTTGTTTAGGCGTTATACAAAAAATAATACAAAATGCCTATTTATCACCAAAATTGGTAAATGTATGTACCTAAATGTCTATTTATTTATTTATTTTAGGAATTACAAACAAATGTGTTACAGAAATTAACTTATCTATTATACTAGACTTATGTATTATTTATGTGGTAACACATCCCACTACGTAATCCACATATTGATATATGAAACCATGTAATACATTACAGCTGCTATGGAATGTATCTAGGTGACCTGGAGATACAGCCGGATTATACAGGGTGGAAACGATAAGTGATCTAACTCGATTATTTCTAAACTATACAAGATATCGAAAAACTAGTTACTGATTCTGAAAGTGCTTCACAAGCTCTTTCAAATGGTACCAATAATAGGTTACAGATTATGGAAGCTGGTAACATTGAATTTTTGGATTTTGTAACTTCTCGTTTCCACCCTGTATAATCCAGCTGTATCTCCAGGTCACCTAGATACATTCCATAGCAGCTGTAATAAACATTTAGGTACATACATTTACCAATTTTGGTGATAAATAGGCATTTTGTATTAGTTTTTGTATAACGCCTGAACAAAAACAAAGGGTAATATTTTGGTGTTATACATAGATTTCGGATATAAAAAATATATATAATTTAGTTAACTAATTAAGACATGACAAAAAAATTGAGGTAGGTATGTCTCGTTTCTGTCGGGTCTGGATTTTTTTTTTGTATGGGGCGTGACCGTTCTTCTTTGGTATACTTATGTAAGTACGATGACAATGCAATGTTATGGTACCATTGAGCTGGTCTGATGCTGGAGTCAGGAGGTGGCCATAGGAACTCCTAAATGAAACGGCAGAATCGCATCGAATTTGGGTTCGTAGGATTTGTCTTTTCGAGCACTTTAGTACTAGATAATGTCCAGGGTCCTAATGATGGAGTCAGGAGGTGGTCATAGGAATTCCTAAACGAAACGGTGGAAACTCATCGAGTTTCGGTTTGTTAGATTTTTCTTTTCGAGCACTTTGGTGCTAAATTGTATTGTAATTGAACCAAGGCTCTGAAATTGAGATACTAATAATAAAAAGTGTAAAATAAAATTATAATATTGAAAAACTTTTTTAAAAACAAGCAGTTGTACTATAACGAAAAAAGTTATTGTACTTATGCAAACATAAAAGAGGAATAAATTCCATGCGGGATACAAGCTTTCGAAATGATTTGAACCTTGCACACATTTTTTTTTTCGTTTTATTATCATGTGTTAACGGATTAACGATTAACGTTAACTTGCGTTAAATCTTGCGAAATATAACGTTTTAACGTTTAACGAAGTTAATTTTTTTATTAACGGTTTAACGATTAACGAAGTTAACTATTTGATTAACGGTGCCCAGCTATGTATGTACTTAATTTCCTATTCACCATTGCTTTTGGCATATTTTTTTTTGTTTGTTTGTTATTTATAGCGTATAGACCCTGCTAATTAGTTTGGTATAATTGACTATGCCTATTTTAAAAGCCTAGCTTGCACTGATTTACGGCTTCATGCTTGAATTTGACTTCTTTGTTCTACTGAGTGTCAAGCAATGCTATTTCTGGAACACACTTTACCATGTTGTTCTCTCTGAGACCGTTGAATTGGGCTGAATTGGGCCTCTATTTGCGAGATTTTCTCGAGATTTTGAGTCTCCATTATTTTTCTTCATTCTTCATTAATTTATGCTATGTATAAGATAAGTATAATTTACTTACATGTAGTCATTCAACTTTGAGTTCTATGGTGGCGAACTTATCTAAAGGCTAACTGATGACTTCTAAAGCCTGGGGATGATCGATGATACATATTATGGGTATTATTAATATGATTACGTTAAGAGGGTTAAAGATAATCTAATTTAATAATTGTAAATACTGTTGATATTTTAGAACAATCAAACGAACAAAACATTTTTAAATGGACTCTCTATCCCGTAGATTTATAAACGCATCGATTCTGCCAATTTAAAAAGGCACGTCCTTGCTTTAGAGATAAGCAATGTTATGACAAATAATTTCTCATTTAAATGTTTGTTGGATTTTAATATGATGGATGATGTGGGAATGAAATTAAACCAACAGTCGTAACTCGTACCTAATGATAAAACGAATAGCACCGCTTTGCTCGCCCGTGTTATGTAAATCGGCTATTAGTCGGTGTTTAATAAGTTAAATAATTTGTCATTAATTATTCCATCTTTTATTACTATGAACTTACTTAATATACTTTTATGAACTCAAATCGATACGAGTAATAATAGATTTTTAATTACATACTTAAATATAAAACACATTCCATTAATTTACAATTTTACTTAGATTTAATGAAGTTACCGAGAATGTAATTTTTTTTGCCTTTAATGAGATATTTTTCTGGTATTTTGAGATTTTACTCGTTCTGTCTATTTTGGAACAATGTAGTTACTAATATTATTTCATAAAATATTATATTATTAAAATCTCATTACATTGCAATGTAAAGCATTGGTAAAATTGATATTTTAAAAATATTATAAAAATTATAATTATTTTGTATGAAAAAGTTCATAATTACTTTTTAATGCGTAAATTTAGAGTGCGTACGTTTTATTTCCTTCATTATAAAACATCTTGGTGCTGAGAATTAGGCAGCTTTAGAACAGAGGTGACGTAACAGCCTTACGTTTCCCTAAATAAAAATAACAAAGAAGACGTCATGTAGATAATATGAAGTTATCAATGTGAAACACATCAAGTTCGATAAAAAAATAAAACCCAGTGTGCAAACACTCTTAAATAACTTGTACAAGTGTATAATCAGCTTACAGAATAAGTACTTACCATATGATTCTTCATAGAAATCCAGCCCATCTTGGCACGGAATCTCAGTTTGCGTTTGTTGTCCGTGGTTACTAAATCGCGATTTACCGGGGCCGACAAAGGACGGATACTGTTTCGAAATCGTTAATTTAACGTTATTAATTTGTTTTTATTCGTATTAATATAGATAAGATAGTCCGTAGGTTATGTCGGTCCACGAGATCTCATCTCAGACTGAGGGGTCGGCGGGAGGCTGTGCGCAATGCGACACTGCTCATATGAAAACATTAAGGTCTATTGCTCGACTATTGCCATTTGAATTTTAGGAAATGGTAAGTACATACTATTTTTACAGCATTACATTAAAGTGGGTAATAGGAATTGACCTAAAATTTATGTTATATTGGAAATTATTTAAGTAATTTTAATCTCTTGCTTGCGCTCTTTTATGAAACAAATGACTGCAGGTTTTGCACAAAGGAATGGAAAGGACAGTTTCTAAGTAAAATGTTTATGTAATTTTTATATGCATTATCCTGTAAACAAGGCAATGCAGCTATGGCGGGAAAAATGAAACTATTGATTAATCCGTAAAGGCTAAAATCGCATGTGCAGAAATGCCCGGAACAGATGAGACCCCAGGCGTGCGCACTGTGCGGGGTGGTTCATTCAGACAGGTGACCGTGGCAACGAAAATTGTTTACAAGCTGTATTGAGTTCAAGATGCAATCAATTTCATATTCATTTGTTATCATTTGTATGAATTTTAAAATTTTACATTAATTTCACAATTTTGTTTGTAATCTATTCACTTAAATCTCTGCAGACCATTTAAAAAGAAAATCTTGTATAATTATACCGATTAGCGTAGATTAATATTAGTGGTTAATACATATAATTTTGTAACCTTATAATGTCGTGTCTTAACTATCTGCTCACAGCTTCTCAGGATGATTCTTCCAAACGATCGCTTTTGGTGATAAGACCGCCCATAATAAGACGTAGGATAGGTACTTAATAAAATATATCTCTAGTTTTTTCATTGGCGACAAGTGTCCCAAAATTAAATCTAGATTCTAGACTTACTTGAGCTCTCACTGCAGCTAGATGCAACTGCGTCGCCCTGTAGTCATACTTCTTGATTGATATCTCTTCCTGCGACAAAATAAACATTGTTAATTACCTATTATTTTATAGTTATTAAAGTAACACAGCATTAATAAATTGTTTGATTGAAAACTAGGTAAGTACTAATGTGCCATTTGGTTGTGGAAGAAAATTAATTAGGTAGGTCCTAACTACTATGTTATACGAGTTTAACAGCTGAAAATAAAACTTGCTTTCTAACATCAACACTATTATAAGAAATGACAACTTTTATGAGAACATAAAATAATATCTTTCATGTTGTAGGTACCTACCTACTACATTTATGACACATCGTGATATAAATTTCAGTCGTAAAGGAAAATTCTTTGTATCCTTTTCGTCATTTTATACCTCTACGTAAGTACATGCTTGCTACTTGCAACGATTTAAGTCTGGCAATATTTCAATATTTTAGTCCAAAAGTAATTAAATAAAAAAAAAGATTTTATTTTCCAGTGTGTCATAGGGTGACATCTAGCGGAGTTTTTACGAACTTCAACGCATCGAGGGCGTTCGAATTTGCCCCGAGGGTTCTCGAGGGCGCTTGGTCTTTCTTGGCGTTCGTTCATTATTTGATTCAAAGTTCTCCCACTAGAGGTCACTGCTCAGAAGTTTTAGAAAAGTTACTTCATAGGTAGTTCGTAGGTAGGTACCTATTCAAAATTTATTTGAATAAGGGCTAATTTTTCAATCGCCGGATAACATTTAACTGAAGAATAACTTTGGCACATTGACATTTTCAGTATGGATAGTTTATTAATTTGACGATTGAAAATCAACCCTGATAAACCTAAGGAAGTTTTTACTTTCATCATCATCATCATCATCATTTCAGCCATAGGACGTCCACTGCTGAACATAGGCCTCCTCCAATGCTCTCCATGTTGATCGATTGGTAGCGGACTAGAGGCCTGCGTCCAGCGCTTCCCTGCCACCTTTACGATATGTCGTCGGTCCACCTTGTAGGTGGACATCCCACGCTGCGTTTTCCGGTAGGTACGCGGCCTCCATTCCAGAACCTTTCTGCCCCACCGGCCGTCAGTTCTGCGTACTATGTGCCCTGCCCATTGCCACTTCAGCTTGCTAATCCGTCGGGCTGTGTCAGCGACTTTAGTTCGTTTACGGATCTCCTCATTTCTGATTCGATCTCGCAAAGAAACACCAAGCATAGCCCTCTCCATAGCACGCTGTGCAACTTTGAGATTCTGTATATAAGGCCTATAGTGAGAGGCCACGTTTCCGAGTCATAAGTTATCACTGGTAACATACATTGGTTGTACACTCTAGTCTTCAGGCACTGAGGTATTTTGGACGAAAGGCCAGAAGTTTTTACTTTAATTACAATTTATTCTCATATTTCATAGAATCAAAGTAATAATATAGGTTTCCACAAATTGTTTCGAAGCATGTTGTATTCGTTTATGAAAGATTCCTTTCTCGATTTCGACATGGTCACTTATTAACCAGCTCAAACTCAATCTCCAGTCCCTTTCTATTCATAACTAATTAGTTTTTAGAGTTCAATTAATCTGATGCTCATTTAATAATTGTTATAAGAGAACTCCATACATCGACCGGGTGTAATTGATCTGTCAATACACCGACTGCACTGCGACTAACAGGTAATTATAGGTCGGAATCGAAAACTACCTAGCTAGGAACTACCTAATTACCTGCAAGGTGACATGAAAATTACTTATTAACAAATTATGAAAATAAAGTAATATAATATAATTTGTTGCTTTATTTACTATTTTTTTGGAAAATCGTGTCCTAAACTATCAATTGGACATCTGTTCTTCAGTGCCGTAACTAGCCTTTTATGCGCCCGGTGCGAGCTTTCAAAACTGCGCCCTTGAATAATGCTTGGTCTGGTCATTTCTGCGCCCCTCCAGGGTCTGCGCCCTGTGCCTGGGCACCGCTGGCACCGCCCTAGTTACGGCACTGCTGTTCTTACAAACTTTTGCGTTTTAATATTGGAGATTCATTATTGCATTCCTCGATCTGCATTTTCCGTTATTATGCTTTATTTTATCACTACTCACAATAAAAGTTTGTCGTACAAAAATTCAGGTTAGCATGAAATCTCTGAATGGCCGCCCGAGTCGAGGGTGCTTCGCTGTGGTTTGCCCGCCCCGTCAGCATAATATTAAGTACACTTTGACATTTCAATGTTTGCAGGGAATTGAAACGGGTCCCGAATTCCTTTGAATACCGTGTGTAGAGGATTTCCATTAAAAGGTGCTTTAAAAAAATAATATCATTACCTTGATTTTCTTTAATGTACCTATCTATTATCATAAAAAACTCATAAAACGTAACTTCACCGAAATTGTGTGTTTATTTACTACCTATATTGCCGAGTCACCAGCTATTAACATTTTTTNTACATGTTTAAATAATAGAGATATTCTCAAAGTCTAAAAAATAGTGAAATTTGCGTTATCTTGTAACAAAAAGCAATTTCATCATATTTCATAATATTAATTAGTATTTTCTGGTAATCAATATCTTATATCATTAGTTATTCATAACTAGTCTTCTAAGGTACAAATTAGCTCATTCTTAACAAAATAGAGCAATGTGATTTTGGCAAAATTTCGTCATTTTTACGTTTTCGCACGTATATTTTCTTTCACCAGCGATGGTTGACTCACTAGTGGCGTGCAAAGGGTAGCAGAGTTCATTTACTCCAGCTACTGAGACGTTCAACAGCACACGGCTACAGGATAAATAACTGTACACAAAAATATGAAGCACGGGGTCAAATTGACCCCTCCACATCCTCGCCGGGTTAATGTTTTAGTAATTAAAATTTACTAATGGTATTTTTTTTGGTATTGTATCACTTTACTTTGTAACTAATCACAAAACAAAATAATACTTGTACAATCGACCTGACTGTCAAATTCCGGAAGAGAACTTACTTACTAACTACTTTGTTACATACTGACCGGGGGTTTCCCGTCATGTTGTTGTGGCTATAGTGTTTGGAGACACACACGTGTGTGAATTTAAAAAACGTAGGTATTCGTATTTGTAATTATTATTTCACCGAATACGAATATTCGGTAAATGACTAATATTCGGCGAATACGAATATTCGTATTCGTTGCATCACTACTTTCTATCCATAACTAATTTGTTTTTAGAATTCAATATTAATCTGATGCTCACATAATTGTTCTAAGAGAAGTCCATAGACCGGTGTAATTGATCTGTCAATACATCGACTGCACTGCGACTAACAGGTAATTATAGGTCGGAAACTACCTAACTAGGAACTAATTACCTGCAAGGTGACATGAAAATTAATTATTTACAGAACATGTAAATAAAGTAATATAATTTGTTTCTTTATTTACTTTTTTTTTTTGGAAAATCGTGTCTTAAAATGTTGGACATCCGTTCTCACAAACTTTTGTGTTTTAATATTGGAGATTTGACACGTCATCGCTTCTTCACATCTATAAGAGGTATAGTTTAATTTACGAGATCTTACGTACTTAATTTTAAATAATATCCTTTTCCTTCACTAATAAGTTTTGTAATTGTTATACATTATTGCGTTCCTCGATCTGCCTTTTCCGTTATTAATGCTTTATTTTATCACTACTCTCGTACTCTCACAATAAAAGTTTGTCGTACAAAAATTCAGGTTAGCATGAAATCTCTGAATGGCCGCCCGAGTCGAGGGTGCTTCGCTGTGGTTTGCCCGCCCCGTCAGCATAATTTTAAGTACACTTTGACATTTCAATGTTTGCAGGGAATTGAAACGGGCCCCGAATTCCTTTGAATACCGTGTGTAGAGGATTTCCATTAAAAGGTGCTGTTTTAAAAAAAATATTCATTACCTTGGTTTTCTTTAATGTATCTATTATCATAAAAAACTCATAAAACGTAACTTCACCGAAATTGTGTGTTTATTTACTACCTATATTGCCGAGTCACCAGCTATTAACATTTTTTTAAATTCAAGTAATTTTCTTTTTTGTATACCTATTTATGTAATTGCATTTTTATAATTTACTAGTTTACTTACTTGAATCTCGTTCACTTTGCTATAGATGTTGCTTTCGAGGCCTCGATTCTGATGACGTATGAGCACGTCGAGTCCATCCTGTGAAAATATTTTTATTGTAAAATATTCATCATTATATAATTATAATATTACATTACATTACATTATGAACATCATAACATACGAGTTAGTATGTCTAGAACTCAACAGACTCGAATACGATTCTAGGAAATCTCCGTTTTACTGTATAAGAAACATGAACATAAAATACAATGCTACACTGCTGAAAAGTTTTCTGAGGTATTTTAAAATTGAATCTAGTTTAATTAAGTACAATAAAACTACATAACATAAAACGGTATTGCAACATCCAACAAAATGAGATGTTTGTTCCCGTAAATTATTACTTTAGTTGCGTGTTAAATATTCCTTTGAGTACACTGCAGGGAACTTTAAAGGTAATGGGAATGACGAGGGTTCACAACTGAACCGGTTATTAAAATACCGGGTGTACAAGAAACAGAGCAGTCCTTGAAACTACTACGTAATCGGATACTATTTGAGAAGTTGGAACCAATACTATGTCATATAGAGCAACTTTGAAAGCTGCGGTTTGTCCAAGGAAAGGTGACCCTTTTGTTTAAGGAACTTATGAGTTATTTTTAGAGGTACAGACTACTACGATCAATCAAGCTATAAATTTTTGTAGTTAAGTCACCCTTATTTCTGCCATATTGTTTATGTTGTTGTGCTGTCGTTTGCACCTTTGAGTTAAGTAGGGCGTGGCAGTGCACGCCATTTGCATATTCTAAATTAAAGAGAGAGTCATGGTTTTATGCTTCTTCTCTTTTATACTAAAACTTACTTGTTGCTTGTCCATTACAAATAAGACAACGTTCAAAGAATTCAATAAAGAGTTTTCCGTTTTGTACTCGAGTAAGTAGCTAACACATGCTTTGTGATTTGACCCCATGTTCTGTAAGGCGAATAACTCTATATTCAAACCTGTTCCATGATTATATTACAAAGGTACTTCTTTTTCTTTGCAGGGCGAAAAAATAATGACAAAATGCGACGTCTGAAATAACTTAGAGGAATCTCTCTTCAATCCAAAACGTAATAAAAAGGCTTGTATCGCGAAAACTTTGACTCCGCTCTATTACATTTTCACAAGATTAATACGAATCACATCTTATTGTAGTTTAATAGAGATTATTCGGGGAAGTAATAAGCAGAAAGCCAACTGGCTGATTTAATACTTATATTTGAGTAGGAAGTCGTCATAGAGATGTATAAGGGCTTTATGTATGGGTAGGTACTTCAATCATAATAAGTAGGTAAGGGGAATTCATTGAAAGGACCAGCCATTCACCAAAGCTAATGTTTTGATTAAGGAACATCGCATTAACTTTGTAGTAATTAAAAGCACTTATAAGAACATGTTATAAATTTTTCTGCTTACTTAAATTTCTCAAAAATATACGAGTAGCTAGGCGAAATTAGTGTCCGATTTATGTTTTCATGCCTAATAAAAAATAATAATGAAAACATTGGGAGATTTATATTTTTGAAGAAATAATTGTGGTTTTTAAACTAATTTAAATACTCTACGAAGAACAACTAGCTGGCATTAGTTAGTTCGAAAAAATGTCTTAGTTTAAACTAAGTTACTACCTACTTCTGTAAGTTACTTTACTAGTAGCACTTGGATAGCATCATGAATAGTAGGAAGCATTGCTTTGCCAACGACACTTGTGCGATAAGCGATTCAACACTTAGATACCTAGCTTGTGAACGTTGACTAATGGTCACATCTGATATATCCAGCCAGATGCATATGTAGCTGATGTATGTACAGACAACAGCACATAAGCACTGTGGTATCTTATGTACCTACTTATGTTTTTCTGATTAATTTCGTTGCAGGTCCAATGATAATTTTACTTTCTCCCGGGACAAACTTGACCTTTACTGGTTGGACCTTCATTGGCGGTCAAGCTGTAGATCCTGGCTACGCAGGAGTTCCAGCGGAGGGAATGAGAGGTGGGCATAGTCCCGTTATGTAACTTATGAATAATCGTACAGCCAACATTTTTAAAGCATCCGTTGATTGCAAAATGAACTTAGTGTCGAGATCAGTAGGACAGTCACTATCTGTGTTTAGTTAGATTATTAATAGAGAGTCAATAACAATGCCGTTGAAATAAAAGAAGCAGAATGAGACGGTAAAATCTGCTGATAATTTGTTCTCTTTGATCGAATGAAAGGCTGAAGTACATGTTGGAACTATGGACGCATAAGAGTGCATTGCATTACTAATCGTCTTAGGTCCGGTTCCCACCAAGGCGGAGCGGAGCGGAGACGAGAGGAGATGTGCGGCGATGCTGGCAAGATATTTCCACCAAAGCGGAGCGGAGAAGAGCGGATGGTGGAAACCGAGCCTTATGGGCGCCCTCGTTCATGTAATGCTCTGACACGAGCGTCCCCGAAAGAGAAGAAGTACCTAAATATGATCAATCCATCGTGCAAATCTAGGTCCATTTAAAAATCGATTCGGTTGTTGTTGGTGAAGAAAACCAGGTCTTTCCTATGTGGTTGAAGAAAAAGGATTATAGGTAGATTGTTTGTAAAATACTTAGTCCTAAAGACCTCTGTTTCATTTCATCAGTAAAAATAATTTACCAGTTAGGTACTCATACCTGTAGCTGCTTTATTTGCAGCTCAAGATCCTGTGCATCCTTCCTCAGTTGTTCGTAGTTCAGCCGCGCCTGTCCACCCATCCGGTCCAGTAGCATTTCTCCTCGAAGGACTGGTGGCATACTTTCCTATAGGACAGAGAACAAATAATATATTTTTATGTCTAATCTACAATATCTATAAAAGTCACTGACTCACTCACTCACTCATCACTAAATCTCAGAAACTAGGAAGGTTTAAGGCAGGTTCCTTTTAGAACGTAGGTGCTCACTAAGACGGGATTTTGCGAAATTCATTCCCTTATTAGAGAGTAAAACGGGATTCACGCGTACGAAGTCGCGGGCGGCCGTTAGAGTTGAATATACAATTTACACGCACTGCATGTAGATTTAGAGTTTGCATAATAATATACTGAATCTGATTGACCTCTTGATTTTTTTTCATAGAGGTCACTTAAACATTAGAGATTGATGGTGAAAACGGGCATAAATCCAACAAGATAAAGGTATAATTACCGCAGGCACATCCAGTGGTGGGTCCTCCGGCTCGGGCGGGTAGGGCGGCAAGAAGGCGCGCTTGGGCGGCCGCATGGGCGGCTGTGACGTCAGCAGCGTGCGCGCAAGGTGCGCCAGATCAGCTGTGCTTGACACCGCGCGCGCTTGCGCACACAGCGACTCGTATCGACGGAGCTGGTGGTTGGTCTGTGTACAAATACAAAAATATAAGATACAGCTTGATCAACAAACAATGGATATGGATAACCCTGTACATAGTCCTGTATTCCCGTTGTCCACCTTATTATGGGGACAACGGGAAGTAATATTGATTATTTTATTGAATTCCTTTTGTCCCCATGATGGGAACAAAAATCGTGGGGACAACAGGAATACATGTAAATAGTAATATAACGTACCCAACGCTCGTAGTAGGCATTCATATAATACATATATAGCATTGTCACCTATAAATTTTATTAACTCATAATGAATTAAGATCCTATCTCTGCTGTCAGTCTGTGCTGTAATTCTAGGATTACTAATGTTTGGCCAAAAAACGTTTCCCAAATTATCACATCGCAAACAACGTTTCGCAAACTTTCATTTGGCAAATTTTTATTTGGCAAAACAACTTATTGCAAATTTTTAATTCGTAAATGTCGTTTTTGGCATATTATTGTTTACCAAATTATTGTTTGGCAAAGTATGTTTTGCCAAATGTTTCATTTGGCAAAAATATTTCACGATAAACAATTTACAAAATAATTTGATTGGTGCATAGAATGGTATACAAATAAGCTTGTGGTTATTTTTTTTTAGTGGGTAGTTAATATAATTTTTTTTCCAAATTAATTTTCATATTTCATTATTTTTATCGAAATTTCCAAATGATTCATTAACAATAAAGGTGATTCTAGCGCGGCACATGATTTACTTGCGAAAAGTACAGTTGCTAAAAGTTCATTTGGGAAATGAAACTTTGGCGATAAGTGGTTTGCGAAGTGAAATTTGGCGAAAAGTAATTTGGCCAAACGGAAGGATACCGTAATTCTATGTATTACCACACACTGTATTTACACAGTAGGCGGTCTGTATCATATCCACGCAAATACACGACATGGGTTTTGAATGTCGATTGAGAGAGACCATTTAGTAACCGCTCATGGGAATACGCAATATGTCAGCTGCAATCACAATCGATAGTTTCCATTTATTTCGAGTCTGCGGGTTACTCCAAAAAACATCCGAAATTTCGAATACTGCCATCCCTCTCACGCAAAGCGAGATTGCAGCATGAGTGACGGTGACAGATAAGTAGGTAGACCCAAAACTACGTAAAACAGCATTTCGAGGTAGAACTCCAGATGTCAGTGTATCAAAACTTAAATACGAATCGTGTTACACGAACAACACTATCTAGTTCAGAACTTAAAGTTTATCTGGCAGGTAAACTAAACTGAAAGTTAGATCATAAACTGGACTTTAGCAGTAGACTTCAATATTCTTGCACTGTTATGTGGATTGAGTTTGAAAATATTTGAAAAAGGTTATTATTATGTATTTTTTGAATGGACTAGTTATTAACTCAAGGATGGAGAAAACGAACCTACGCTACTATTTTGAAAAGAAGGCTTTAAAAAGCATTATTATGCGAAAAGTTTTTAAGGTAAAAATCCTTATTTAAATACGAGCCTCATTTGGAGATTAATACATCTTATCTAGAAATGTGTAGAATACATAAATAAATTGTGATCTGTGCTAAAATATCGCATTAAATCTGGGTTAAAGTGGAAAATGTTGATTCTCTAATGATAGTAATTATTTTTGGGTTACTTATTATTTTAATCTTGGGCGCCTTCATTAAATGTATGGCCCCGGGTAAGGTCAGTCACGCGGATGATATAATACTTTCGTTTACCTCGCTGTTTTTCAAACTTTCGGAAAAAGCTTAAATGCTTAATTTTTCTTTCTTCTTCTTCTTTTCAGCCAAATGACGTCCACTGCTGGACAAAGGTATCTGTAAAGGTATCGATCTGGTAAAGGTCGCGGGAAGAGCCTGGATGCGGGCAGCGCAGGACCGTTCATTGTGGAAAACCTTGGGGGAGGCCTTTGTCCAGCAGTGGACGTCATTTGGCTGAAATTTTTGTTTATTGCAACATAATGTTATCTTTCTTATTTGATAGGTAGGTACTTACCTACTATATTTGTCTTCCTAGACACTGTAGCGGACCAAATTATTAAATTTACAAAATGTCAAAACTTATTTAACTCTTTCAGTAAATTAAAACATAAATCAAACTAAAAAAAAAGAGAAACCTTGTAGTCCAGGAGTCAAAGTTCTATTTATGCGGTCAGTTTAATGCAGCAAAAATTACAGCGGTTTGGACGGCGCGACTCTTATCAATTTGGGGGCGATTATCGCCCACAACAGAGTAGGATTAAAGTTGACAACCTGTGGCTTACCTTTTCCGTGATAATTTCGCCGTCCTGACAAATGGCCTCGCTGACGGCCGTCGTAACGTCCGCCAGTATCTCTTCCAGCTCCTGGAAAGAAAACAAAACATTTTCATTCATTTTCACGAACCACCGCTCTGTTATCCCGGTTTACGGCTTTCTTTGCATGCGCCAAAGCGGTTATTTTTAAGTTAAGTTATTTGCGTTTACAAGGAATGTTGTGAACACCTTATTTGTATTTTATCTTTGGTTTGACGTTTACCTAATATTGTAAAAAGTCTGTCTTCGATTATTTTGTGAAAATCTATAAACCTTGTACGAGTACATCTCTATCATCAATTCTGATTTTTAATACCTATTTAAGTACATACATTGAATCCAGTTTCTCTTCAAGCTTAGTTTCAGCATTCAAATATTATACTACTCGTGTATACCGACCATCTTATTTATTTATGTGTATGGACATTGGACATCAAGTTAAAAACCAATCGGTGCGGTTTTGCGGTGTCACTCTGATTTGTAGACTCTACATGTAAGTATTCATTTGTTTTCATAATAGTCCATAGAAACTTGTTATTTAGTAGTAAGTACTTATACTGCAAAGGAAATGTAATTGACTGAAGAATGGAATTAAATTAATGCGACAATAGGTCTCCTGTCAGCTGCAAACGCTCACAAGTCAGTTTAATTAAAATCTGAGCTGCTTTCAATCTAAGTTCGAGCTGAATCTTCGTGGAGAGTGGGATATATTCAGGGCTCTTGAAATTAAACGGTTTTCATCTCGCTTCTGTTACTAATTCTGAATACTATTGTTTTAATTTTGTTATATTAAAACGCGAAGTCAGACTAAGAAACCAACATTTCATTGAGAACACAAAAAAGCGTCGTCAATGTGGGCATAATTTACTTTATTTCTTTATTTATAGCACTTAATAAAATGAATTAATAAATCGGAACGAAAATTTCATCCCTAAAATCTATGCGTAAGTAATTAAAGTACATACAATCTGTATGTAGATTAGATGTGATGCAGAGGCTAATGTCCATATCACGGCCCATATTCACAAACGATGCTTGCTTAAGTGAAGCATCAAATTGAACGCACAGCGTTAAATAGAGCTCTGTGATTGGTTCATGTGTCACCCTGTGTGTCCACGCGCACTGTGAGACCTCATAGTAATGTTTGTGAATACGGGCGTGTTAGGTACTTTCTGTATTTTTTGGACAAAGTCGCGAGCAAAAGCTAGTTCAAAAAATAAATAACTACCTACGTAAAAAGTGAAATAATGTTTCTGTAAAAATCTTAACGGTAAACATAAACATAAAGTTTCAACATAAAAATTAAGCACCAACAGTCTACAAGAGATTTTGTTTGTTCGTAACTTGGAAACAAAATAATGATTCCTGTTTTTTTGCGGGAACACCCCAGCGATTTATCGGGGGGCAGAGGTTACGCGATATGTCAAGCTCAATACGCTCGGGAGTCTTTCGATTTCGTTTTCGGGATTTTTATTTGCCCCTTCGGTGTTTTACGCAACCTCCGAAGTAGGGAATGCGATTTGGGGGAATGAGTATTGTCTTGGAGAAAGTCTAATTGAAGAAGCCGTGCAAGTATAAAATATTAGGGCACTATTGTTCCCATTTCTAAGCATTTTTAAAGTAACTTTCAGATGTGCGTAGGTATCGCTTAATTAATATAAGCCCGTTTTCACTACCAATCCCTCATTTTTAAGTGACACATATGAAAACAAAATTCCTGTTATGTGTTACCATGGATGGAGGTCACATAAAAATTAGGGATTGATGGTGAAAACGGGGATATGTTTCAAATGTTATGTTATGTCAAAACTTTTTGCCATCGTTCGTCATCAAGATAACTAACAAATAAATGTAGATGACACCTACTTCAATAGGATGTTACTGTATTATCTATCACTATTAAAGGAATACCTTTACTTTGATAGGTCCTAGTTCAAAATGATCTCTTAACAACCCTATTGTTTTGCCAGTCCAGTCTTGCTATCCCGAAGTTTCCCGCTGGGAGTGTTCAGTGAAAGCCAGTTCCCAGATTCCAGTTCCTACACAGGTGGTTTTACTCGGCAGCGTTTGAATCAGTGAATCAGACCAGCTCTTAATCGGATTAGTAGTGCTTCAGAACTCGCGTACATCCAACTTGGAGGTGGTACGCCGATAATTTGTTACTAATTCAATTATGTATAATTATTGCAAATCAAGTGAGTATTCACAAGAGCTGTAATTGATCCAATTAACGGAACTTCAAAGCATTCCTAGTCCCGAGAAGATGTTATTCTATTGGAAACAAAATTAAGTCTAGCACCGTGGTACGGGAGGGTATTTTTGTAACGACAAACGTCAGCGAGATTCAATTGACATTAATGTAATTATTGACCCTGAGTTGTCTGACATTAGTTTTTATAAATGTGAACTATATTTTGTTAATGAATGTAAANTGTCCATTACAGTAATAATTTTGCATGCCTAAAGGTGGAAGATGGAGATACCTACTTGAAAAATTGTAACACCTACTGATGTAAACCCATTTTCGCAAAATAAATGATTTGATTTGATTTGATTTGAGATTTCAGATCTACCTACTTCAGAATATGCTTTGTCACGTCATTATGTCAATATCACCCCTCTCATGTCATTCTCATACCTCATAGGCGCTAGACCTATATGTATTAACTAGCGGCCGCCCGCGACTTCGTACGCGTAGATCCCGTTTTACCCCCTTAGGGGTGGAGTTTCGTAAAATCCTTTCTTAGCGGATGCCTACGTCATACGTCTACCTGCATGCCAAATTTCAGCCCGATCCGTCGAGTGGTTTGGGCTGTGTTGATAGATTACTATGTCAGTCAGTCAGTCACCTTTGAGTTTTATAATAGATTTATTTATGGTTGGAGTAGTCTGCTGCAGTGTGATCGACCTCTAGATGTTATTACTTAAAAGGGCAATCTCGATGAATGCGTTTTATTTTTAAAAGCGATCTCTAAATTTATTAATCAACTAGATTACAAACTGTCGTTTAGAAAATTGCTTTTCCATGTCAAAGGCCGGAGTTAACTATCATTTTAGCCAATATCAAGTCCAATCAGTTATACGAGCACAGTCTATTTATTATTCGTTCCCAGTACAAAGTAGATTTGACAGTCAGGAAGTTGCCTCTTGCGATGGAGGGCCTACATCTACATTTGTCAGTGACCACAGCCCATGTCCGAAACAGATATCATGTGTGATAGCTTTAGTTTGAACGTATTATACTGTGAACAAAAGATCCCGGAAATTTATTTATTTATTTAAAACTTATATGCACATAGAACGGTGTACATAAGGCGGACTTAATGCCTTTCGGCATTTTCTACCAGTCAACCTTAGGGCCAAACTGAGAATAAAGTAGGCGGTATAGAATTATTACGAATTTAGAAAAAAAAACATAAATAACATATGAATACATACATAGACACAAACATATATTTAATAATAGGATGGATGACAAAGGGAGGGAAAAAAAGTGAAGAAAAAAAAAGGGAAAAAAAAGGAGGTTGAACAGAAATCATGAAGATGAAACACTAGCGAGAAAATGTTTGCGCACATGAAATTGATTTCTAACTTGACTTTTTTTCCATTCATTGTTGTTCTGAGGGCTTGGTGTGAGTTTATATAGGTACCTACCTACATCAAACGTCACTAGCGAGCGCGTTAAAAATGTATGAAAATTTTAGTTCTTGAAAGTTTCCGCTAGGGGCGCTGTACACACCGACTTTTAGTTGGAGGCCAACTAAAAGTCGGTGGTCTGCGCCTAGGCTTAATGCCACTTTTTTACGTAATCACTAGTGAAGACGTTTGATGTAAACACACACTAAGCCCTCTAACATTAAAAACAACGAATATTTTCAAGGTTTCACTGAGCCTAATATATTAGTTTTAGAACTTTTGTCCTTGTCTTTGAATAGATTTGAAAACAGAACGGATTACTTAAGGACACCTTATAAAAGCAAATTGGGTACCTAAGGTTGGTAGAGCGATGGTAAATAACTAACAATGAGGTCTTAGTTGAAATTTCAGCCCTGTGAATTAACAGGAACCGCTAGTTTTGTATCAAATATCATCTCACCTGTAATAATAGTACGTACCTATGGTAGGGTGTTGTATGTTTCAAAACTATACTTTACATCTAATAATGGACTTAGTTGAGAGAAAAAAAGATAAAGGAAAGAAGTTGTCGGCCGTTTGGTGTAGTGGTTCAGAACGTGCTACTATGCCAAGAGGTCCCGGGTTCGATTCCCGGTCGGGCAGAAATTGAAATGATGAATTTTAATTTCTGTGACGGGTCTGGGTGTTACTATGTATAATATGTATGTATTTAAAAAAAAAGTATATAAGTAGTATATCCGTTAAGCTAGCACCCATAACACAAGCATTAAGTTGCTTACTTTGGGGCTAGCTGGCGATGTGTGAAATTGTCCAAAGATTTATTTATTATTTATTAATTTTACTAGCATATAAAGTTTTTACAGGGTGGAAATGATAAGTATATCACTCGATTATTTCTAAACATCTACTAAATGTATGGAAGCTGGAAACATAGAATTTTCGGATAGATCTAGTTTATTCTGTAAGATATTTATTAATACCGTTTGATAGAGCTTGTGAAGCACTTTCAGAATCTATGTAGTATCTAATTTAGTACCTATGTAGTTTTGCTTTTGCTTTGATTTTCAAAAAGCTGTGGCCCGGTGTCGCCACAGTAAACAATTTTGCTCATCTGGAAAACTATTGGCCCATCCTTGCCCTAGTCCTATACAGGGTGTTAGGTAAATGGGTATATGAGCCGACACTAGCCCATGTTAACATGGGCATATAAATGGTATGGTGAAGTCAGAAATTTGATATCATCATTTTATGTTTTTTAATTTTCATACAAAAAAAATTTCATCAAATCCGATTTGTATGAAAATTAAAATAATTAAAATGAAGATATCAATTTTCTGACTTCACNAATGGTATGGTGAAGTCAGAAATTTGATATCATCATTTTATGTTTTTTAATTTTCATACAAAAAAAATTTCATCAAATCCGATTTGTATGAAAATTAAAATAATTAAAATGAAGATATCAATTTTCTGACTTCACCATACCATTTATATGCCCATGTTAACATGGGCTAGTGTCGGCTCATATACCCATTTACCTAACACTTTGTATAGTTTCATAATACCATCTCACCTGTAATATAGTGGGCAGCGTGTGCTTGTGGTACTGGTCGAGCATTGCGTTCGTAGCGGTCAGTTGCTGAACGTAGCTGTTGTGGGAGTCGTAGTACGTAGCTAAAGCGGCCGGGCTTGGGCTGGTGCAGTAGTTCAGGAATGCCGTGCGGTAGTCTTGACGACTCTGCAAAGTAGGATTAATTGTTTTAAAATAGAATTTGAAAATAATAAAGTTTGTAATAATTAATTAGATTAAGGGCTCCTGGCTATGGCAGCAAATCCGGTTTATGAACACTCTTGGATGCCTAATGCGCGGAATGCATGGAGTTTTCATACATATTAAATACCGATTGGCTGCGGCAGCCAGGCTGCCTAGTGCGCGGGAGGTCTAATATTCAAGTTTTTCATTTATTTATCTTATTTTAATGGTCACATTAACCTCTCGTACTAATCTAAATATGCTTGTGCTATGAGTGGGTTCACTACTCAGTCCACTATAATCGAGCATGGCAAGAACAGTAGGCTTTTATAAAATTTTAACAATCATTCAGATGAATCTCCTAAAAAATCTATCCAAATACTTACTCGTATTATAGACTTTTGTCCTATCTAGTTTTGATATTTTTTCAAGTTTTTATATCCTGCCTAGTTTCTTATTCTTATTCTTAGTTATCTAATTATACATTAAGCAACAGACACATCAGCTGTTGTGGAGAGGATCATCCATTATCTTTGGACGACAGCGACTTTTTGTCACGGGCGTTACTAGGCGCAGGCTAATGAGCTTATTCGTCTTAAGTCTTAAGACAAGACTCTGGTTGAGGCAGTTTCTTATTGGGGCATCTTTTTGCAGCACATATTTTAGTCAAAATAACAAATTATTTTTAATACAAATTATTTCGTAAATAACAAGGAGGTACGTGTAATTAGGCTTCTATAATGTCCTTATATGATACTTTTTACGTTATTTATCTCCCTCTGTAATTTTTTGACAAGTAAGTATTTTTTTAAGGCTTAGGATTTATACACCACTTTGGTTTCTCTGTTAATGGTTGACTGGTTGAGAATGCTCATTAACAAAGTGTAGTCAAAGAGTAAAAGGATAAGTAACTTTGTTTTTAATAAAATATATCAGAATACGTTCTTCTTTCCGTGTCGACAACAAACCAACACAGTGTCATCCCAAAACTCCGCTACAAGAGTGACGTTGAACTCAGAATATGTTGATACTTTTTTTTATATTATTACAGTTTTTTTTATAAGTATGTATTGTTGTATTTCACGCACATACTCTACTTAAGGGTAGTAAAGTTCGTTTCCTAAATCCACTCAAATAAAAAGCACACTTTGCACCTGTGCTCTGCACTAAAAGCCCAGTGACAATGAAGTTACGCCATCGGGCCGTCACTAACCATGTCATATTTCCAATTTCCAATGATATTAGGCAAAAGCGTGTTAGTACAGTTCACGCCAATATTCTTTCCATACTGAACGATCCACCATGTCCTGCTGATATAGGTGTACGAATGCGCTTAATAATTAGTTGCAATATGAAACTAATTATTTATCACATATTATGTACAAACAAATTAAATAATTACAGTAGATTTAAAACCAATATTCAAGGTATACGTAGGTAGATTCTCTTGAAATTCCCTGAGAACCCTATCAGTTTACAATAAACATAATGGTCGAAAAATGGTCCCTTTATTTTTCGAAATAGTGTCGCCATATCGTTTTTTTTATCAGTACAGTAACTAGTCTTCAGATAGCTCTTATACTCGCAGTTACTTAGTTCATTCGTTATCCCATAGGGCATGGTAAATTAGGAAAAGCCTATTTTTTCAGTTCAACAATTTCCACCCGATTTTCTCAAGTTTTGCGCAAAAGAGCTTGAATATTTCCCCAACAATATGAAAGTTTCTGATTATGCTCATTGGAATAACAAGCCTGCATCGAAAACTCGTCTTGCATAGAGCGGATTAATCACGATTACAGCGAGTAAGTAGACGTAATATCGGATACCTAATTTGTTCGTTGCGGAAGGAAGTAAGAGGGTTTTGTAATTTGCGGATATATTCACCAGATAGTTTCCCTGATGGAAGACTTTGTTACCGAGTTCGGTTTACATTCAAGTACCTAGTTTGTTTGCATTTCAAGTACGTATTCAGCAAAAATAATTGGTGCATGATGTTGAACTAAGTATGAGTTAGTAAAATGCTGAGAGGCTATTGTTTGAAACTTTCATGGTCACTTTATATCGGAAACTCAAAATTAAGGTACACGGTAGCAATCCCGTCAGTAATAATAATTATGCTGAGAGTCTGACATCGACTCAAATTCTTGAATAATATTAATTTTAAAACCAATATCAATAAATGAGTTTTTAATGACTATGTGTATTCACAAGGAAGTTTCTCAAAAGAAGTCCTATGCTTTGATATTGTCACATTTACATTTTATATTTTTACTGAATTATTTGGACATAATTATGAACTAGTAAAACGACGTTCGCGGTCATTTGCCAATACTTCGTTAAACAAACATAACTAAGTTTTAAAAGTATGTATTTAATTAAATGCTATTGAATCTAAAACCAATAGGTAGGTACAAGTAAGTTTTTGAAACTAAATAGAGTCAAATATTGGTAGATATTAAACAAGGCACATCCATCTACATACATAACTTAGATGGTTAAACTTAGATCGGCCAGCATTGTCTCCTCAGCTTGTTTAATATCGACAGCGCCAGCTGACGGCAACAAACGGAACTAATCATGTGCCACAACCCGGTCTTGTTGGCCGAACATCAATTCATGTAGGGTTACCGGGATAGAGTTGTAGCATCGTGCATGATCCGACGAGATTAATACGAAGATTGTGGCGTCAGATTACTTGTAGAGTTACAAACATGTAGCAAGTTTATTTATTGTTATGAAGCAGTGGTAGGGTTAAAGTATTACTAGGACGTGTAAGAGAGCTTTTTAAAATAAATTTTTAAAATACCTATGAAATTGTTGTTCATGTGTTTAGTGTTAAGCCATATTATATTTAGCTCTACAGGGTGTTAGGTAAATGGGTGTATGAGCCGACACTAGCCCATGTTAACATTTGCATATAAATGGTATGGTGAAGTCAGAAAATTTATATCATCATTTTAATAATTTTAATTTTCATATTTGTATGAAAATTAATGATTTTATACATTTTATTTTGAATGAACAAATTTCTGACTTCACCATACCATTTTTAAGCTTAAGAGTAGGCGCACACCGTTGATTTTTAGTTGGCCGATAGTTGTGCCCGATTTTAAATGTATGAAGAATCGGCCAAATCGAATCGGCGTAGTGTGCGCACTCCCATACATGCCCATACTGATCAACTGCCCGACTTCAAAGTCAAAGTCAAAGTCAAAAGTCAAAGTCAAAGTCAAAGTCAAAAAACGGTGTGCGCCTACTCTAAGTTAACATGGGCTAGTGTCGGCTCATTTATACCTACTCATTTACCTAACACCCTGTATAACGCTTGTGGTCGATAGTACTTTAAGAGGTCTTTAAGATCCAGAGATCTTGAGGATATATTCGATTGATTCGATTCCTAGATATAACTTAGCTTTTGAAATCAATATAGGTTAAATTATCGACCTTATAGATAGGAGATATGATTCTGTGTTTGAAGCGGTAGCATATAGGTAATATGTAAAGCTACCCGCGTAGACCCGCAGGCAACGTCTGTATTCTCTATGGCAGCTGATATCAGTGTTGTGACGAGTTTGGTGTAGGTAATGTTTATTGAATATCAGTAATGTTTGCGTGTGGAATAGAATTAATATTGAGTATTGAAACATTCTTATGGCTAATTATTTTGAAGATTTCTACTAGGGTGTTAAAGTGTTAAATTAGAAAATAACGTTAACCAGTTCTACGCCCAGGCGACTAATATTTCTTAAAAACGTACCAAGGGACTGCAATAGATATTTTGAGTTGCAAAATATTTGTCGTAGTACCATACCACTCCAAATTTTTCGAACGATCGAATCGTTCACATTCCGTGAAGTTCTGGGAAATTTTCTTAGCGCATTCGGTACAGACACCTAGACACTTGTCTGCGCTTCCGCGTTTAGATGAAATACAAATTGAGGCTACAATTTTTCAGTAGGTTATACTATACTACGACGTTGGTTGCATTTAACTTCATGGCTATAATTATTATAAATAAATAAGAAGATATTAAGCTTTTTCAACGTAATGCAAACAAAAACCTATTGTCAATGATAAAAATAATTAAAACGCATAATTACCCTCAGCAAAAGTACCGAAAGATGTTTAAAGCCTCTCAAAGTCAAAGTCAACGTAGACAATAGGATCTGCGTTCAGAAGAAGCGCGTCAACATCTTCACCGCTTAAGAAAATGAGTGAGAGATCTTTGAAGTCACGCTTTGGTTTTAAATTAGACCAACATCATAATGCGGTGCATTTTTTAAAATATAAATTTTGTGGAGAAAAGGACATTGTCAGAAACCGCCTAAAAAACCGCCCAAAAACATTAACCCATCATAATTATTTTCTATTTTTTTTAATACATTAAGAACCCTTTCATTCTAATGGACACTTAAGCATTGAAAAA